TCTTAATCAGGATATTAATAAGGAACTAGCAGTTTATGAAGCTTTTGGAATAATCCACAATTTTTTTAAAATTAAACACTATCTAAAGATTTGCATCGAAGCGTTTTTTTTTTATAGTGATTTTAATCACTGTCAGATATCATTATACTTGATCCAACTATGCCACGTCACCNATCACTGTCAGATATCATTATACTTGATCCATCTATACCACGTCACCACTGTGCCGCGACCCCCCTGTGCTGGGTTTTTTTTTCTTAAAACTATCGTAATTTTTTGAAAAATGAACAAATCATCAAAAAGTTTTTTGTATATTGAAACCTTAGATATTTTCATTTTATTTGATATCATTTTTTTGAAAATCTAACACTTAACCTGCTTTCAGGAAGGGATTTAAAATAGCGACTTTTTTATAAAAACTAACTTTTTCAACTTAATATTTAAAAATAATCCGGAAATACTCCGAACTTTAAATATATGTCAAATTAAAGCATACAATAAATACTATAAGTTAAAAAAAAAACATGTTCCTACATAAATCTAAAAAAAAAATGATTTTTAGTTTTACCTGAATTTAACAATGGATTTTTACAATTAAAATCAAAATTTATAATACACTGAGTTGAGTAGATCTTTTTAACTATTTTAGCTTCGATGCGAAGCTGAGAAGGTATTATTTTTACTAAGATGTGTTTATTTTTTTTTTTTTGTCTGTTACCACTTTTTCTCAGCTCTCACCGAACGGATTTCTTTCAACGATACGTCAAAAGATCACAAATCGTATTTAGTCGAAGACATTACCCTCAAAAATTGAAAAAAAATCCCTCGTTCCCCGTAAATGGGGGAAACCTCCAAAAAAATTACAAATTTAAAAATCGCTAATTTTCGAAATTTTTTCTACTAAAAACTGCCGTAACTTTTTCAAAAATGAACATATCAATATAATTATTTTTTTTTTATAGATACATGATGTCTTTACCTATCATTTGGTATATTTTTATTATAAATCTGACTTTTTACCTGCCTACGGAGGGGATTCAAAATGATAACTTTTTCACAAAAAATTGACTTTTTCAACTTAAATTTTGAAAGTGTTCCGGAAAGTTTGATACTTTTATATATATCTTAAATTAAAGCTAATGTAATTTACTTTATTATGTAAAAAAAAAATTTCGGACTTTATTTTGTCTTCACGGTGAAAATGGCTACCGAATGCTATTTTTGTGTGAAAATTTTCGATTTTATTTTTTACATTTTTAACTTTATAATGCTATAACATATTGAAAAGTGTATGGATCAACATTATTTTTTTATGAGAAATAATATTTTTTAATAATCCCTTTTTCATTCGACATACTTTATCTTAATAATGTAAAATATAAAATCGAGAATTTTAACACAAAAATAGCATTTGGTAGCCATGTTCATCGTGAAGACAAAATAAAGTTCGAAATTTTTTTTTTCCATAATAAAGTATATTACATTAGCTTTAATTTAAGATATAAATAAAAGTGTCAGTATTTCCGGAACACTTTCAAAAGTTAAGATGAAAAAGTTAATTTTTTGTGAAAAATTGTCATTTTTAATGGGAGGATTAAAAAAGTGCGCTGGTAAAGGGTTAAATGTATAAAAAAAATTATACCAAATGATAGGTAAAGACATCAAGCATCTATAAAAAAAAAAATTATATAGATTTGTCCATTTTTGAAAAAGTTATGGCAGTATTAAGTAAAAATAATCGGTTTGGTGAGAGCTGAGAAAAAGTGGTAACAGACACAAAAAAAAAACACATTATAGTAAAATTAATACCTTGTCAGCTTTGCATCGAAGCTAAAATAAGCTCTTTTTTACAATTTACCAAACAAAACAAATATTATAATATAAATATCAATAGAATATACATATATATTTTTAAATTATTGATATTATAAATCTTCGTAACGTGACGTAAATATATCTATATGACGATATTTTTAACTTTAATCACTTGATTCCTCACAAAATAATAATTGTTTTTGCTTTTGTTATTTACATATTAAAAATTATTAACTTTTACTGTTTAAGTAGTTGATGCTACTATTTTTATCACTAGAAATTTTTAGGCTTCTCTATTCTTTTCGCCTAGTTATAAAAATGTTAATAACTTCTGAAATACTGATTTAAAAATGTTATCGACCAGTCAATATTTTAATTAGATTCTTCTTTTTCCTCGCCTTTATGCCAACTATTTAGGATTCACTTGAAACGATCTCCCACATCAGCCGTCCTCATATCGCATTCAATAACATCCCTCCATTTATTTTTTGGTCTTCCTCTACCTCTTCTTCATTCAACATTCATTTCCATAACTGTTCTTACGTTTCTTAATTAGATTATTTCCTATATTATAAGTTAGTTAAATATGTAACATACATGTTTAACTAAGTAAACCATTTGAAAAAATAATGTTGTTATCTCTATCAGGTACATATTATGGGAGGGCTTTTGGACTAACGCCCCAGGAACCTTTACGAATTTTTTTAGCCTGTTATGATTAGCGACATACAGTTTTTCTAGGTTTTTTTTTTGTAGTGATATTTTTTATAAGAAGGCTCATATAGGTCTTAGTCCGGCCCTAACCCTTATAACATATAAGAGATTAACTTGAAAAATATTTTATAACATATAAGGGAAATGTATATGTAACTAACAAAAACCAAAAAAAATTATTATTTTAAGAGAAATCGAGTAGATAGCATTAAAAGAATCACAAAAAAATGTATAGCATTCTGTTATATTATATTTCAAACAATAAAAATAAGCAAATGCTATAAGTCCCAAAGAAAAAATTTAAAACAAAACATTTTGAAAGTAATAAATGGTCATGAATTAAACATTTTTTAGCTCTAATACGCGCTGTGCACTTTCTGAAATCGTCTACATAATAACCAAAAGTAACTAACTCTAATAGTGTCATGATTATAGCAATTTCTACCGTTATAAATCTCCTAGATCAAAATTAATATTCGTCTAGTCGTTTTGTTCTTCCCTAAATTTGTATCATGTTTCGAGTACAAAGATTAATAAATACTCAATACACTGATGGCTACAAAACTTAAGTGTAACTTAATTATAATTATAACTATGGAGACCAATATAGCAAACAGAGCATATTTTAAGGAATTATCATTATGTGACAATAATTGAGATATTTTCAAGAATTGTTTAATTTCACAAAAACCAAAAAAAATTACATTGCTACATACAATACTGGAATTTTCTTTTATGAAAAAACTCTCTTTAATTCTGGTTACATTACTAGGCTCACTACAGATTTGTCCAAATCAGTGTTAAGTCTGCAAGAAAATAGGCGACATGTTTCTTTAGGCTTTTAGCCAGTCTTTTATACAGCCGACGATTTATAATTTTTATGTGTATATGAAAATATAAAATAATTAAATGACGCTAATTTTCTAATCGTGAAATTGAGCAGGTTCCAATTATATTTAAAAAGAAGATCCATAAAATTCACCATGATTGTACCTTAGTCTTATTTAAATACTCCCAAAATTAAAAATCTAGATTATAAACGACTTGTATAGACAAGGCTATACAATCTCAATTTTGAACATTTTTTTGTATATTTTTAGGCGTTGTTTAAATAAGACCACCTACTCATAAAAGACAAGTCATTGGAACATCTTTCTTTTTTCAATCGTATGGTACATCAAAAAAACAAAATTTAATTTAGTTTAGTTTTAAACGGCGAAAATGATTTTATGCATAATACTTTAAAAACAACCATTTTTGCCAAAAATTGTATGATTACTAACTATAACACCTTGTAACTCCTAGAAAACACGATCTCGCAGTTTTTATTTTTTCATCTCTAAGTACATTCTATTTGTTTGGCGTAGTTTTAAAACAGGTTTTTTGGAACCTTATTATAATTATCGTTAAGCAAAATTGGTCCAGTATATATTATTATAGAAGAAACAGTAATCAAGTATACGGACACAAAGAAACATAGCAGAGTATATC